AATAAATTTGACTAAATGACTAAATTACTTTAAACCATGATAAAAATATAGTAAGGTAGAACCGCTGAGAGTCACTTTTAAAATTCTTGACGTTTCCAAACAATTTAATTTTTAAATTTACTCACAAACTCACACACACAATTTCATTTTAAATCTCAAGCAACAACAATTTCGAACAATTTCAATATTTTATTTTCACTTTAATATGATTTTAAAATGTTGGCAAACTTCAAAAAAAAAATCATGGCCGACAAATTGAGAGAACGGTTCTACCTTGCTATGTTTTTATCATGCTTTAAACCACCCGCTAGGACCTTTCCCACCATTCACAATTTTAAATATTTCTTTGAGGATTACATACATATGTACATACAGGATGTCCAAGACCACCCGTCTACCCCCTTTTTAAAAAGAAGGAAAGTGTTTTTTATTGGAAAACGCAAGAATATAAATAGACCACCAAGTCAAGAATGCTCTTATCTTTTGGTCATATTACTTACTTCCGGTTTCGACCGAAAGTGGATTAAACGGTCCGGAAGTCCATTTGTAAATAGGATATTCTTCTTTTTTTCAACAAATTCGGATTCTGCGCATAAAAACATTTTACGTTTATTAGAAATCTTTTCATCGGAAGTGCCTTTTTCAACCTTTAAGTTATCTTTGAACTTTTTTGGAACAGTTCGTTTTGTCCTGCTAAATCACTTCAGGTAGTATTTAAGCTCTTACGCTTCATAGTCAGTAAGGATTTGTATTCCATTTGATTGATTAAAACAAAAACAATGCCAAATCGCCCTGGACTTCTAAAAAATGAATGGACTTCCGGGGTCGAAACTGGAAGTCGGTATACAACCAAAGCATATCTAAAGCATCCCCGACTTGGTAGTTCATACATATTCGCCATTTTAGAAGTCCAGGACGAGTTAATTTGATCGGAATCTACTACGGCCAAGAGAAAGAGCATCCCCGACTTGGTAATTCATATTTTTGCGTTTCACAAAAAAAAAAAAATATTCCTCTATTTTGAAAAGGGTGGACGTTTAATGGTGCCAGGGATACACCGCGTGAAAGCGTAACTTCTCGGTAGGTGTCACACCCGTTTTTCAATACATAATATATCGCCAATTTTACGATGTTGAGTAATTTTCAAATATCGATGGTAAACATCGGTTTTTTGGCCGATGTTATCGATGTTTCAGAAACATCGATGCATCGTTTGCATCCCTATACATAAATCACCCCAACATTTTTTCTAAAGATATGCGGTATGAAAATTCTACCTACATGATAGAGACCACACCCCTTTTCCAATTCCGCAAATTTGTCTCTATGAGGAAAAAAATTTAAACCCAAAATTTTTTCTCAACATGTTATGTACATGTGTATGTAAGTGTTCAAATAAGACTCACACGCTAAACTTTTTTCTTTCACATATAGGATTCGGCTTAATGTACATACATATCTAAATATGACATATACTTAAGTATTATACTTAATTACATGTGTACGTGCCACATACGTACAAAGTAAAAATGTACATACATACATAAAATCGTTTTTAGCGGTTAAGCCACAAAATTATAACTACAAGCAGCCGTCTTGCGGCACACAATTCACAACAAAAACAACTTTCACTTTTGTGTTGTGGTCAGTGTTGCCGCGCCGTCTCAAGAAAATGTATCCCTGACCAAGCCAAAAATGTATCCAAATGTATCCAATTTTCTTTTTTTACATATACATCTCATAATTTGTAAGAAAACCAAACATTTTCATGAAAAAGACATAATTTAACCCATCCTAAGGACTTGGAATACATGTGCATAAAATCAAACATTTGTAATTTCAATTTATAAAGTACATTTTTTGTGCATAAGTATTTTGCAAAGTAAATATAATAAATAGCAAGTACACTCTAAAAAGAGCATGTAAAACTACTACTGAAAAGTATCTTTTTTTCCACAAGAATCTGTATAAATATACGTATAGGATGTTCAGTATTTGATTTTGAACTTGAGATCTTTAAAATGTACACATAAATACACATATATAGAATGTTTAAAATTGCAAAAATTTTCAAACTACAAATAGATTTCCTACTAATAATAAACATTACTTTATTTTAAACATTTTATGTGTAAAAGTAAACAGGCAATGATTAATTTTATTACACGGCGTGCAAATTTGCACACATTAAAAGAGGAATCTGGTTACCTCTCTCAATATGCGCAAATAAACAAAATTTTTTCAGTAAAATCCGTAAAAGTTTCCTTAAATAAATCAAATTTAGTTTTTTAAACCACATTGAAATCTTCTTTCCTTTTAAATTAACAAATGAAAATATGTGATATGAAAGAGATTGCTACAGAAAGAGTATAATTTACTTTATATAAATCGTCGTTTAAAGTACAAAACCGCGTATCGTCATTCTGCAAAACCGCGTAACTGACGTTTGCTGCCAAAAATTGGATTTGCTCACACAAGCTCTTGGCTCAATCCTTATCCATTCGTCCGGAAATATACTAGCTAGAAGTGCGATTGCTTTATAAAAAAGAGAACCATTTTGAAATATAAGTGTTTTTACTCTCTAGAAAATAATTTATGCAACGTCACATACGAGGTTTTGCATTATCTTGATACGCGGTTTTGCATTTTGTTGATACGCGGTTTTGTACCTTAAACGACGATATGTTTATTAAGATCTTGCTTAAAGCATCCTTTTAAGCTAGTTAAAGCAATTGCGCTTATACCTATTTTGGTGAGATCTCTTCATATGTTCATTGCTTCGTTCACAAAAAATAAAATGCTTTAATTTCACGCTTAAGTAGCGATTCTTTATACGTTTATAAAATGTAATGCTTTCTACCATCTTTAATGAAAATCGATTTTTGAACGAAAAATCTGCGTTTCTTTATACATTCCGGATAATCCCTTTTCACAGCCGGAATAAACAGAATGCGTTTGAAATATACGTCAACATATCATCAGGAACGTTCTAAAGAATAAATAAACAAAAAAGTTTATTCCAAACGTTCAGAATGAATAAAGAAATGCAGCCAAAATTTTGGCCTATTTAAAAAAGTATCCACATTTATACTGACCGGAAAAAAATAAGTATCCCGCAAAAATTCGTCTAAAAATGTATCCAATTGGATCTATTTAGATCCAAACGGCATCCCTGGTTGTGGTTCAGTTGGATTCTTTACCTGTGAATTTTTGATTCGCTTGCTATTTTCTGTCTTTTTGCTGTGTTTATTGTCAAGTGCATAAATGCCCATTTGCAGCAAGAGTGTAATAATCAAAAAAAAAAATAAAATTTTTTTCTTTGTTTAGTATGCAGAAATGACAACCTCTTCTTCTATGTTTTGTGCAAAAATTACAAAGCTTAATTTTTACTATGGGAACTGTAAATTTTAAGGCCGTTTTTCCCAAGTTACGTATCTTTATTCCTAGAATCCGAATCTGTATGTAAAACATGTACATACATCTCATGAAAAAATGGACTTCCGGTCAGTTTAACCCATTTCCGGTCGAAACCGGAAGTCGGTAATACCACCAAAAGATACGAGCAGTGGTTCCCAAACCTTTTCTACTGGCGACCCACTTTTCCTTATCGTTATACCTCTACGGACCATCCGTTTCATTCTTAAAAATTAATTTCAAACCGCCGGGCAAAAAAAGTTGCCTTTTAGCCTTAATGCCGCGTTTTTAATTTTCCATTTTGACGTCAGGATTTTTTTAAAAGAGATTTCAAAAATATGATTATTCCAAAAAATTATTTAAAAAAATGTATTGGAATAAGGTCCAAGGAATCTGGCCTTAGTGTCAATCAAAGAAAATTAAAACTGCTCGGCTGAAGTATTTGGGCGTTATATTGGACAGAAAGCTAACTTGGCGGCGCAATATAGAAGAGCGTTGCAAAAAGGCTATAACTGCCCTATATGCCTGCAAATCAGCAATAGGAAAAAAATGGGGCTTGAAGCCTCACATTGTGAACTGGATGTACACAGCAGTGGTGCGTCTCATTCTATTTTACGGCATCATGAACATACCGGGCAACTGTGTTGCAGACGAGCTGGCTCGGAAAGGAACCCTACTGTCTGCGATCAGTACCGCTCCTAATGCAGGCATTCCGCTATCTTCTTGTAAACTCTGGCTGTAGAATAACACCCGATTTACATGATTCAAGTACTTGAAAGCAATTCTTGCTCATTCTCTTTTGTGTTTTCTATTTGCTTTTACACGTTTCAATTCTGTTGAATTCAAGTTTTTGGTTCTTTAAATGGGAAGCAACGAAAATGGCAAAAGCAAAGCAAGAAAGTTGAAACGACTTGACGGTACAGACGCATGTGTACTCGTCCCTTTTCTTCTCACGCCCTCTCTTCCACATGCGAGCAGAATTGAATTCAATACTTGAACTGTGTAAAAGCAGTCTAACTTCATCGAACGGGCAAATACATGATGGTCTGCGGAGCCCAAGTGCAGGATAGCAAAACACATCTGGCCTGGGCTAGATAAGCGATTTAGTGCGCCTGATCAGAGCTAAGCATGAACCATATTTTTATGAAAAAACGGCAAACAAAAATTAGCTTTAAAAACCTAGCAAATATTTAACAAAAATCACCGTATACACATTTCTGCTTCCCACTGTATGTATGCACATTAGACTACATCACTCCCCATACAAAAAAAAAAATCGGTACTGTGTTTCCATTGGAATTATAAAATTTATTATATTGTAAGACGTCCACCAAAATATTTCGGAAAAATATTAAGATTTACGTGAGCTGGACCGATTTGAAAATACCTCCAAAAATGAAGTTTTTTATGAATAAAAATAGTTTCTTAAAAAACTTTTTTAAAAAAGTTCCCTCAGATGACAAAACATAATAAATTTTGTAATCCTGTCGGAAAAACCGCAACTTTTTTTGGTGATGCAGTCTAATGTACATATGTACAATTTTATTAATTCTTTTTCATTTCTGTATTTTTTCATTTGTTTTTAGCTAAAAGTATACTACGCTGTCATTGAAGATGTAATCGCTAACGTGCGAGACGCCTTTCTCGATGAGGGTGTCGACGAACAGGTTCTACAAGAAATGAAGCAAAACTGGCGGGCAAAATTAATGGCGAGCAAAGCGGTGGAGATCAATCCTGAACCACCAGAGCCACAGCCACCACCAATTGTGGCCAACAACCCAAAGGTAAGGTTATTTGTGTTGCTTTTTTTAATACGAAGTTTTCAGTTGTGTATATGTATGTATGCATATAAACTAAGTATAACTGGTTATTTGTTTATATCATTTAATTTACAGGGCAATTATAGCAAACATAGTTGATAGTCTTTTGTAATGCCGGATTTAAACTAGGCATTAACATTTTGTTACCGTTAAATAAAGTTCCTGATAATTTTTAAACCCTTTTCGCATTCTGCGCACTGGTAATTTTTGTTACCATTTCTCATAAGCAGGTAACTAAAATATTGCCCCGTGAAGTATGCAACACCAGAACTTATACAAAACTTCATAGCTGAATTGCTGAATAGATTAAGTTGTTACCAAGGTACTTAGAATTGCGGTTACAAGAAATGGTGTTATTTTTTTGTAACAAAATTTTCCGGTGTCAAAATGTTCAATAACAAGCAGAATAGGCCTGTAAATGGCAAAAATTCGAATGAAAAAGTTGGGAATTCAAAAATTATCGTGTCATTACGTTGCAAAAATAGTCATTAATAATTTCATTTACACATGGCATTTTTATATGGCACCAATTTTTTGTCAATTTAATGCCTAGTTGAAATTCAGCATAAAACAGTTAACAAGCAGTAGGTAAGATAATTTAAAAGATTTTGTTTATTCTGGCGCGAAAGGTTTACAAAAAAAGCACACTTGCCAACTTTCATGGTGAAAAGCTCTTTTGACAGAAAGACAGATGAATAATATCCATACCCAAATAAAAGCGTCAGCGTCGTCTAGCAGTCAAAAACTTCTCTTGTCCATACATACAATTTTTATAAAACTTATCGAGATAACGTGGCGGCAATGCTGAGCGGTTGGCTAATTCGATTTTGACAGGGCCTTAATGACTTTGTTATCGCATAACAATTGCTTTAACTACTGCGTCTAAAACTTTGACGCCGAATGTAAGCGTTGCTTCGTCGTTGTCACGCATTCAATAGGTCATAACAATAGCATAGCAAACTATTAATAGTACAATGTGGAACAAATCTCCATTTATACAACGTGGGGTAAATCTCACCCCACATACATTTATCCATAAAACACAAAACCTTCAATTATAAAATCCAATAAAAAGTTCCAATAAACTTGCAGTACCAAATAATAGTAATAATGATGTACTCTTATCAGAAACATGAATTAGTTTCTGACCAATATAGTAAAATGGTATTGTAGGGTATTTATATCAAAATGGGGTTTGTATGTAATAATGATTTTTGCTGCTATTTACCACCACTTCTACGATATTTTACAAACATCGATTATAATTTGATAGACTAAAATAATATGTATGTATGTATGTATATGTATAAACTTCATTATTTACCAACAACGTCAACTTATATGCACATACATTTCGCTGTTTTCATGTTTTATCGCAAATAAACTTACTTCTACGAAAAAATGCAACGCATAAACTGCAATGACAACAAAAACATAATATTTGCAACACTTCATTGATACCACGAAAACTGATCCATTGATGTAATATACACTTACGTAGCCCTCAAAGGTAAATGAGTCTATAATTTATTGTTGTTGTATACATATGTATGTGTATAGAATGTAGTAAACACGATTCTAACTTCGAAACTATTCGATAACATTCCTAATTTTAGTGAACTAATCTAAACAAATGCACTATCATCATACATGTGTATTTCCTACTTAACCTTTTTCTTACATGTCTAAATTCTAAAAATTCCCCCAAAAAATGTTCTCCTTGTTTCATGCTCAACTATTAGCGTTTTTTTACTATCCCGAATTCCAAAAAAAAAAATATTACCTACATATAATTTTCTAAAATAATATTTTTATAGGCTGCTGCCGCTAAAGCTAAAAAGGCAGCCGCTGCTGCTGCCGCTGCCGCAGCACAACAAAATAGCAATAATAGTGGAGCCGTCACTTCAAATGCCTCCGGCGATATGAAGCCAAATATTGCACAACTGCAAACTAATGTGACCAATGGTGGTGGTAATTCAATAACGACCACTGGTGCCTCGGGTGGTCCAACCACATCGGCTGCTGCGAATAGTTCGGCCGCAATGAATGGTGGCGTCAAGCAGGAGATAGGAAAGTCAACGACTTCACATAGCGGTGCGGTGGCTAATAACTTACAAAAATCAAATGTGATTGGCGGCGCGTCACACGGTATTGGGCCGGTGGCATCATCGTCAGGAATTGGTGGTGCTGCTGGCAGCTCGCAGCAACAGCCAACAAATTCAACCATACCGATCGTTGCCACACTCGATCCCAATCGTATTATGCCTGTAAATGTAAGGACATGACGAGTGATGCGAATCACAGTAAACTTGCTATTATGTACATACATATGTATGTGTTACTGTTTCCCCCCATTTAGATAACATTACCCGCTCAAACTGGCTCCATGAATACGGAATCTCGCGTGCTCACCATACACGTTCCAGCGTCGGCGCTGCAAGATAATCAGCTAACACAGATATTGACCGCTCATTTAATTTCATCTATCATGTCATTGCCAACAACGTTGGCTTCTTCGGTGCTACAGCAGCACGTGAATGCGGCGCTTATTAATAGCAACATGCAAAGTAAGTACAAATGAAATTGAAGGTGATTACTTATAGCCTAACTGCGATTTCAAGCAATTGTAAATTTAAGATTTATGCTAACCTTAACTTTATGCAATACTTTTTACTATTTTTTAGAAAATTTCAACGCTTCAAAACAGCTTGACGGTGCAGTAGATACTTCAGATGAGGACGAAAGCGAGGAGAGTGATGATAATATGGACAATGATGATGATGACGATCTAGATAAAGACGATGACGAGGATGCTGAAAATGATGGTGGTGCCGAAGAAGAGCCCCTCAACAGTGATGACGATGTAACTGACGAGGATGCCAGCGATGTATTCGAAACGGATAATGTCATCGTTTGCCAGTATGATAAGGTAACGGTTACATGAAATACATATCGCTACCTATAAAGTAAAAAGGTGCTAAGTCCATTTTTTTCAAAATCTAGTTTTTGATGCAGAATGGCAGGTAATACGAAACTACATTGATTTTTGTCTCTCCTGAACAATTGAAAAAAAATGGGCTTGGCACCTTTTCACCCTTAGGTGACGATATGTGTGTACCTACGAGGTTAACACTAAAAGTTTCTGGAAAAAATACACATTTTATTAAAAAAAAAAACGCTCCATTGCTTTCCAAAATGTTCGCCTTTGAGATCTATAAAGTACGTCCATGCGGCACGTAATTCGCTGTCTCATTGGTAACTGGCGTCCCGATTACCCTTCGAATTATGTAATGGGCGATACATCATTTGTATGTTATTCCGTAAAAAAGAAATCGTTGAAAAAATATATATTATACAAGGGGGGTTGCTGAACACCTCAAGAATGGTGGAGAAGACCACATTGTATTCAGAGGAACAGTTCAACCTCCATGAGGAGCAGTTTATTTATGACCAAAACCACTTTTCCTGTATTACCTGGAATTAATATTATCACCGGGTATTCACAGCAAAGAATAAAAATAAAATAAGTAACGAATTACGAATGCGTCGTAAGGAACGGGGTAATTCGCGAATTACTGAGAGAGCGACCTACGTGCCGTGGGAATGTACTTATACACCTTTGGGTTCGACGAAATTGGTTCTAAGCAAAATACACTTCCTGGTTCGAAGAAACTGTGTCAAATCCAAAGACTGCAGACTTTCTTCATTCCCAAAAATCGTTTATATTTGACTTTTGCCAATGTGCAAGGATCCCTCTATTAGAGCTCTTATTATTCGATTGGAGAAAGTAGTTTAAGGAATAGGCGATTTCACTTAATCGACACACGTTTACTTTCTACTTTTTCAATAAAAAAAACTAGTCGATTATAGATTTTTCCGCATGTTTTTTCCTTTAAAGAAACGTTGAATTTTCTTATACATACATACGTATGTACATATTATATGTACATGTTATAAGCATACAAACATGGACGACCTTCACGGTATTTTATCACTGAGAATGACGCGACCACGTTTAAATTCTGTAAACCGCTCATAAACAAAGGTTTTTGATGGTGCTTTTTTATCAAAAGCCGAATGAAGCCGTGCCAGCTTTGCTTTTGAATTAAGTCGCACTTAAGGTCGTAAAAATCATTACACGAGAAATTGCCATTTTTTCACAAAATTGATTTCGTTGAGATGCTGTTAAATCGAAACTGCTTGGCGAAATTTTCAACTGTCAATGTGGTTTACCCCAACAAAATTTCAAGTGTGACATGCAAAAATCCAGAGTTTTTGGGGAACGATTGCTGGAGTGGCAGTCCTTGGCCAGATATAAATCTGGGTCGCTCCGGTTACGTAGACACAAATGATGTGGGAACGCCGTCTAAAAATCGTTTCGTACTCTCAGGGTAACTTTCGTATATGTACATACTTATATATACATATGTATTTTTGTTCTACGAATATAATAGTTTCTTTTTATCTGCTTATTTTAACCAGATTACACGTTCACGCAACAAGTGGAAATTTTACCTTAAGGATGGAATTATGAACATCGGTGGCAAAGACTACGTTTTTCAAAAATCCAATGGAGATGCCGAGTGGTAAAAAACAGGACCATGGTCGCCGCTGAAGATACCTTTGTTGCTATCCCAATATCGTTCTTTCGTGCTAAAAGACAAAAATCATAATATATCACCATGATTTTTTTTTTTAATTCATACTATGTATCAATACAACTTCTGTTTTCTGCACTTCAAAAGTTAATACGACTTTTAACAAAACCTATAACATACATACATACGTAATCATGTACATTGGAATTTGTGTAATTAATTACGTTTACTTACCATGTAACCAACCAACGAAAACTAGAATGTTTCATATGTGCATCTGATATACATACATTGCTCAATATGTACATATGTATAAAATTTCAGCGAAATGGTCCTTTGCCAAATAACTATATGTACATATGTATAAATATGGATGCAAATAGTTATAAGCATATCAAATACATACATATATATTTTTGGTGCATTGGTAGAATACCTGATTGAAAATTAATGATGTGTGCATTGATTACAGCTGTAAGAACAGCAAAAATATTTACAAAATGAACAGTATAAAAACGAAACGGAAATGTTTGAGGGAAAACACATTTACACATAAAGAAAATAAACTATTACAAAAATAGGGGCATATACATTCTATTTAAAATGGTCCCGGAAAATCGGTAAAAAAACTGAATACAGCTATTGTATTGTATTAACAAAAATATTCTAGTGTACATTATTTAATAAAAACCCAAAAACCAATGGTATATCAAGCATGTTTTTAAAGCGTCTTATTTGATTAAAAGCCTTTTCATTAAAGTGCAGTTGATATTTTAAATTATGATTTTACTTTGAACATTATAAATCTTTAAATAAGGCGAAATCTTGAGTGTATTCACAAGACAATGCCTGGGGCGACGTCTACTACAGCTGCCTTGTAAAAGAGCACAAATTCATTGTTGGATAAAGCGATCGCATTTCGTAGATTTCACGAAAAATCAGACCACGATGGATTCTGTGATCGGGCGCAGGAAAACCGCCCGTCAGGAAACACCCCCGAAAATTTTACCGGAGGGCGAACTACTTAGGAACAACTAGGTCGAGCTAGTGGCCGATGTACAGAACGTGCTCAAATTATTGAAGGAACATCTTGACCCTACCGAATGGTAGCAGCTCTTAAAGTTGTGGAGAAGACCTATTCAAGTACGGCGGCGAGGAGTTGATAATGTGCATACATCAACTATTATGCTTGCAAGCGCGTTTATCGTCTATCGTATGGAAATTCAGAATAGGGGAGTAAGTCACTCATCATGTCCGCGCTGGTGCATGGCGCAGAAGAATGGACAGTGGCAACAGGGTGCCAAGGCACGAATGTGCTGGCTGTTTGTTTGATGACAAGAGATACTTCGTCTCGTCCTCGTTTACCAGCAGACCCAAACGCTTTGCTTCTTTATCCAACTTGGAAAAGGCAGAACAGATTTCCCGGTTTTTATTACCGCTGATGTATGTCATCGGCATACGGCAGCAGTAGCGCGCTCTTATAATAAATTGTTCCTGAGCGGTTCAGTTCTGCAGCTCTTATTATCTTCTCCAACATCAGATTAAAGAAATCACATGAAAGGGAGTTGCCCTGTCTAAAACCCCGTTTGATAGGAAACAGCTAGGAAATATCTTTCCCAATTCTGATGGAGCTGGTGGTATTGCTCAACGTCATTTTACATAGCCGTATCAGTTGGGCGGAACACCAAATTCAGATTTCGCGGCGTATAGGCAACTCCTTTTAGTGCTGTCGAAAGCGACTTTGAAGTCGACAATTACTATAGATGGTGATAGTCCAATCAGTCCGTTGACGGTGGGTTTCAGTCTTCCACACAGTACACGCGATAAGACCTTCTCCTTCGCCTTCTTGTGGATAGCGCAGAGCACACTTAAATCGCAGTCGTCGGGCATTTATGCATGCACCTTATCAACTCATCGGCGCCGTACTTGAACAGCTCAGCTGGCAGGAAGTCAGCTCCAGCAGCTTTGTTGTTTTTCAGACGCGTACGTCATCAACTGGGGGCTCGGGTTCGTCATCTCAACTTTCCGTGCTGGTACCGTAGGGAGGAAACGCGTTCCCTCCATATTTTAAGCACGTTCTGGACATCGGTAACTAGGTCGCCATTGTTTTTATTGCGGGAGTTCGCCCTGGTCTTGAAACCTTCAGTAAGTCGCCTCACTCTCTGACATTTTTCTTGTCGGCCAGTATATCAAGCTCTTCGCACTCCCTTCTTATTGTTAGCTTCCCTCTTCAGTTCCCTAAAGCGGCCACATGGCTTCCTGACACTTCTCATCGTGCCAGTTGTTCTTTCGGGCTCGCTGAAATCCGATTACTACGGCGGCGGTACTTAATGAGCGGGAAATGTGGTTGCACTGCTCGCGTATGTCGGTTGGTTGAAGAGCAGGTGTGAGTACTCGAGTAGCTAATGCACTGGCTGTCTGTTGTGATTTCAGCTTTTCGACGTTAAACTTTCTTTGCGTTTTTGGGAGCACATTTTTTGCAGCACAGAGCCGGGTGCGTATCTTGGCTGCAAAAAGATAGTGGTCCGAGTCGATGTTTGGGCATCGGAGTGTACGTACGTCTAAAACACTGGAAGCGTGCCTTCCGTCTGTCGCAACTTCATCGATTTGGTTTCTCGTTTTTCGATCCGGAGCTTGATGGATCGATCTTTTTATGCTTCAATGTACTGCATACTACCATGTTTCCGGCCCGGCGAAGTCGATAAGCCCCAGTTGATATCTTAGAAGAGAACCTTGGACGCCTCGTCCGTGTCTTCCATCGGAGCATGGGCGCAGATGAGCGAGATGTTGAAGAATCATGCTTTGATGCGAATTGTGGCTAGACGCTCGTCCACCTGTTGTGAATGACAGTACTGGGCGACGAAGTCTCTCTCCCATTACAAATCCAACACCGAATTTGCGCTCCTTGCTGCATTTATTGCCTTGCCCCGTCCAACGCATTTCCGGGATGGCGGTGATGTCAGTCTTTATCCTTACGAGGACATCATCCCTCCGGGCAGAGGCACCTTCCCCACTAAGGGTGCGGACATTACCGGTGCATGCCCTCAAATCGTAAGCCTTTAAATCTTTGCCGTTGTCGTCATCATAACGGGGGGTCTCATCCGAGGCTTTGCTGAATTTTTTCACTGAAACGGGTGTTTACGTGGCGGGTCCCAAACCCAGCGCGCAACCCATTGCTGGGACGTGGGTGGTTTCGCAACCGAATACACGTCTATATAGCGAGCCGCTTGCTCCAAGACAGACGTCGGCTTGAAGAAGCACCTACTTGTGAACAGGAACGAGGACGCAAGAGTCGGGATTGAGTATAGCCGTAAACTGTAGCTGCATATCGAGAAAAACGACTATACCCCATTTCACTAAATAACACTGTAGGCAAAATCTCAAGTGGATTATGCATCTGCCCAACAAACACTAAGGTTAGAGAACGATTGGAAAACGATTCGAGATCTAATACGTTTCTCTAGGGTAGAAGGTTAGAAGACGAATAGAGAAACTGTCGGGAATTATAGTATTCTCTACAAAATGGGGAATTAGTTCACGATATCGAGAAAAAGGTTAGATGTCTAATCGTGTTCTAGCGTTGAATTCTAATTGGTTTCAAATGTCTAGTGTTTTTCGAATCATTCTCTGATCGAATTCCAACATAGTTCTCTAACCTGATTTTCGATTCAAGAACTACTACATTAGAATTCCAATGTAAAACCAAAAAGTCCCTCTAACGTTAGAGACTACATATGTTTGCTATGTCAAGCTTTCAATATTCAATAAATATTCATGTTTTGAATGGTGAAATGAAAATGTGCAATATTTTTTTTTATGAAATAGGAGCAAGTAATACATAATGTTACTCATACGCCATATCGTACATAGGCGTACTGGTACATACACATGCATGGCGTATGAGTAACATTTTCCGTGTTAAAGTTGGATTTTTTTCATTCGCAATGCAAACTTAAAAAGAAAATATCTTTGGAAAATTACCTGATCAAGAAAAAGGGTGTACAGATCCGTAGTCTACGACCCAAAATTAATGGCGGCTGATAGCAAATCGGCAACCATATACTGAATTACGTATGGCAACTGGCTACGGACTGTCGGCTACTGAGCCCAGTAGCCCATTTTTCTGTTTCATGCACACTTTTTCACTAATACATGCATAATTTTCTAATTGTCTCAATCACTGTCTTGATTATTTTCAAGACAGTAATAGCCCGAACACAACGAAGACGACGAGCTACGGACCACAGCTGTCAAATCTCAAAACTAATGTTTACAATGATTTTCAGGCGGAAAATAAAAACATTATACATTTTTGAAAAATGGGCGTAGTCCCGCCCACTTACGACCACATACGTATGTATGTATGTGTATCTGGTAAATGATACCAAACGGCAAAAAAAAATATTAAAAATCGGGCAATAACCACGCCCTCATCCGATATAACGGTAATTTAGAGAAATACGAAAACTTCAATAAATTGGTAAATACTGAAGCGAATTTATTCAAAATAGATGTTTGCAATAAAATTTATTGCTAAGGACCAATTTCACAATGCGTAGTTAACTCGGAATTTTTGTACTGAAAATCTCTAGTTAACTGTCGATTCGGAGTTAACTACGCACTGTGAAATTGGCCCTAAGTGTTTATAATAAATTTGTGGAAAATAGGCGCGACACCGCCCAATTATGACATCATATGTATGTGTATCTCAGTAACCGTTCCGATTACACTTGACACATAAAAGCAAAACGTTTAAATTTTTTGAAATCGGACTTAAATTACGCCCACTTTTCATATAACGGCAAATTTCGTAAATTCGGAAACTTCGAAATTTCGAGATTTAAGAATGCTAGTTTACTCAAAGTTGGTACTCACAATAATCCCTTGAAAAGAAATAACATTTAGTCAGGTTCTGTAATTCACTGCCCAGAGAATTTCAACCCCTGCCAATTTGAATTCTAAGCCAATCAGATTGAAATTCACTCGGAAATGAAATGCAGAACCTGCCGGATTCAGCCCTATCGCCAATTCCATGTGAATAAATAGGTCCCATAATTTAACACGCAAAACAAAAACAAATTGGGCAAAACTGTTTTGCTTTATAATTTTTGGGAATATTTGTTCATGTGAAATTCGCGATAAGGCTGATTATTGTCGAGTTTTGGGAAATGGGCGTGATACCGCCCACTTATAATTTTACACATATCATTAAGGGCCGTTAACTTATCAATTTTAAAGTATAGTTAATTGTCTAGTTAAATATAACTACAAAAAATTCCATAGGGATCGGAATTCTACGAAAATAGGAAGTAAAAAATGTTTCGCAACATCCTTATTTTTGCTATTACAGATCGAACAACATACATATATTTTAAATGAAAATTATTAAAAATAATTAAACATAACTTGCAAACAATACCATTTTGAATTTTGTCCTTATTATTTTGCACACAACTGTATGTATGTATACATACATATCAAGCGCTTAGTAAGAGTTCACTGCATATGTACAGTATTGGCCAATACAATAGCACCCCCATTTCAAAGTGATATTGTTGGCCACTCATGTTTATTTATTTATTTTTAAGAATTTTCAATTAAAATACAGTTAATTCTCTCACAAAACTCACATAAACTCAAGCTTAAACTTTTTAAAAGACCGCAAAAAAGTGCAACAAATTTTCACCCAAATTTCAAACTTTTTTCTCAGAAGCGGTAGA